CACAAGATAAAAGAATGAATGTATGCTTTATGGAACCGTGTCAGAATCTGCCATCAGAGCAACTCAACATCACTTCTCTTAGGCAGTTGTGCCTCAGCATTTGCGGTACCCGTACTGCACGTCTTAAAAAGGAAACACTAAGCGCCCCTTTTCAAGAGGAAAAAAAGAAAAAGGGGGTAATTAAAGAGACGGATGTCGTTCCCTGACCAGCAGTATTCAGTTAATAATATTGGAAGACTCTCAAAGGCTTACCTCTCATGTGTCCGCCGCCATTCTTACTTAGTCTTATGCAAATTCCATGCAGTAACACCAAAATGTGGTGTGTGTATAATGAGTATATACCTATTTTTTTACGCATTATCATTATTTGTTGTTGTTTCAAGATGTGTTAATTTTACACTTTTTTTTTTTTAAGAATGAGCAGTTTGTGAAGAAAACCATTTGTTTTGCACATGAGACAATCAGTTTCTCTGGGTATTTCCTGATGGTTGTCTAACAGATGGCCTTGTTTTCTATGTCAAGATCAAGCATTCGCAGTGACCTTTTCTTTCTACAGTATGCACTGATTTGTTAGCCCTTTTGTACCTTTTGTTACAGGCACTTCATGTTGGCAAACTTTATTGTGCAGTTTACTCACTTTTTAAGATTAGCAAGATTTTTTTTTTAATTTCATTTAAATAAGAAAAGTAATGAGCAGACATAAATGGTAGTGAAGCTTATGATTTTACTCTGGACTGTGAAAAAAGGAATGTATCATGTTATTTTATCTGTACATGTATGTAAATAATGTTATCAAATGAACACATTGATCTATTTGTGCATTTAAGGTGAGAAGTACAGCAGCTACTTGAAACAAGCATTTTAAAGTGGACAGTGTGTGAGCAGTATCCTTAAATTTTACATTTTGTTTCTACAAAGTCCACTTTTTTGCCACTTCCAACGATATATATATCTATATCTAAGTTTCTTTCGTTTCTTTTTTTGTTGTTGAAAGACACTAATCTGAAACCTGCACCGTGAGGGTCCAAACTATCCACTTCGATTATGGAAAATCCTTCTGTCGTGAGCGCTCTGGAAAATCCCCAGCATGTATTTTCCATGCTAAAACATTTAGTGAAGCGCAGATTCAGTGGAGAGGATTTATAAAACCTCAGTGGAACTTTGATAGGGTGGTTGAACTAAAACAGATTTAACAGTGCTGATCACAAATACGGGTTTTATTCAGACTGCTTCTATTTAGCCCATGGGTCATACATGAATTTGTTGATGGGTGTTTCCAATGTCAGTTCATCTTCATATATGATAGTTTGGTTAGATTTTCATCTTAATCATGAAGTCATTACATGATTCAGGAAATTTGGTCTGTTGTTGGGATCCTGTCATTTGAACCTAAAGTATGCTGGATGTAATCATCAAGGGTGTCATTTTATGGCTTCATGCTGGATTCTCCTTTAATATAATCTTATAGATTATAGATTAAGTTTTTTTTTAGTTTTTTTTTTTTTTTTTTTTTATGAATCATCATCATCAATGGTTGTGTTTTGGCACTTTCTCCGTCTTTTTTTTTTCCCTGAGTAAATCCGCAGCAACTTTAATGACCAACTGGTATCCAAGCGAGGAATAAAACCTTGGTTTGACTTTGATCTGGTTATTTGGTTTGACTCCTAGTTTATGTAGCACTAAATGATTGATCGGTTTCTGTTCTTTTGATGAGAAATAGTCAATGGAAAGCTTGCAGTCATAAGTGATTTGGATTGATTTATGTCTGGAGTGTTCAAACTTGTTTTTTTATTCTTATATCGAAGTGCAGCCTATCGCATCCGTTATGAATTATACCAAAGTTCAACAGTGGTTTCTCTGGCGGCATTCAATGCTGATTTGTTGAAGTTTTGTCCCCTCTTGTAAAATGTTTTTGTATTGTATGTTGGACCTTGTTTGACTGTACATTCTGTAAAGCATGACTAAAGAGTCTTTTTGTTACAATTGTTCCAACATTAAACATTAGTTCTCATAATCTCCGTTGACTTTTGACTTTACAAAGCAAGACTTCATTTTTTATGTAAATTTATTTACTTTTGTCTTTGAAGAAAATAAAATCAATGCCAATTAGGATGGAGAAAAAAAAGCTCTTTATAGAACTTAAAACAACCTCATACTAGCCTCCTGAACTTAAAACATGTTAATCTTGTGTTTGCCTTTGAAAACTTTGATAAAACAAGAGCAAGTCAATTGAAATGTTTGATTTGAGTTGGAGATCTATGCAGCACAGGTTCTGATCACACCATGGAGCAGTTTTTAAAAGGGCACAACGGTTAAATCGGGGCCTAATCACATCAAACCAGCACAATGTCACCCGACATGGGGCCTGGTGTAGAAAAAAAGACCCAATCAAGTCTCTCCCATGTAAATCCCCTCGAAAAAAGATCAATCAGATGGTGCTTAAATGTTTAAAAATGTAGAAATTCACTTCCCATCAAGGAGATGGTGGCTGTGCTAATCAGTCCCTACATGCTAATGAATTATTCAGTCCAAGGTGCCTATTTAAATAAGGAGTTGAAAACCCAAGTTTCCTGTCCATTTTTATGTTTATAGCTGCCCTGATCACTCTACATGCTCATGACATGACAAGAGTTTTCAAAATCCACTATTTAAATATGTATCTTATAAAGTTATACCAGTTTGACCTCATTATGTTAATGTTGGAGCTTTAGTCCAGATACTCTATAAATCTGAATCTTTTCACATCTTCGCTTATGTTTCACAGCTTACAGTGTGTGGTTTTTTATTCAATGTTATATTGGATCCGCAGATAAAAGAACAAAAATGAAACCAGTTTAAATCGACGGTCCTTTGTGGAGCAAAGTTTGTTTGTTAGCATTTAATTGACATTTATTCAATGCTGCAGGATAAGTATTTATAGGTCATAAATCTGCACAGAGAAACAACTAGGGGTGTAAATAACAATCGCTTTGTATCAATGCATCGATCCAACAGCCGACAATCCGATGCATCGACATGTCCACAAGAGTATTGATTCTTTTTCACACACCTGCATAAACAGTAGGCAAGACAGACATGGCGGAGGGAAAAAGGTGACTTACACACCCCTTGCGGGTTCAAGTCATTTGTGTGGAAGTATTTCGGGGTGTATTCTTGAGTATAGAAAATAATCAAATCATTGGGTCAGGGAGTCGATACTGATTCAAATCGCCATGATGGGTGTGATTTACACCCCTAGAAACAACCAAGGCTTTGGAGGAGCTGCAGAGACGCAGCAGCTCATGAGTGCAGGATCTGATGACACATTATTTACAAATCTGGCCTTTATTGGAAAGCGGCCAGAAGAAAAGCCAATATAAGAACACATGTACTAAATGGGTATGTAAAGAATAAGCGGTTTCAGCTAGTTTGATGTTTACTTTGGTTGTCCTTTGTTTACTCTTTGCTGTTATGTCATTTTTGCCCTCTTGTCTCATGCAGGTAAAGGAAGCAGACACCTGTTTATCTTCTACGTTGTTTATTTTGCTTTTTTGATCAATTGATTCATTCTTATCCCCTCTTTCTTTCTCACCTATCTTTCCATCTGTGTCCTTTGCTTACAATTATATTCCCTAAATCATTTTCAATTAAGTTTCATGTATAATTAACAGGCAGAACCTTACAGAAACAGCCGTAATTGCAAATCTGTTGGGCTATTATCTTGCTCTGGGACGTCGCTTCCCAGAGCTGTATTGGAAAAGCAGGAAATAAAAATAAAAAAAGCCTCATTTTCAGTTTTCCACGAAGCAGGTGGAAGACACAGTGGATAGATGGTTTGCAAAATAAAAATATTTGGCCAACATGAAAAATATGTGTTAAAAAAAAGAAATTCCAAGGATGCATTATCCCCATGATTCCAGATAGGCAGTATAATGCTGTGAAGTTGCTTTTCTTTAGCAGTGACAGTTAAAATAGTTACGAATAATAGGATAGTAGTCATAAATAGTAAATAGTAGGATAAGTGCATAAATAAACACATGTTAATCATGGAAGCAAGGCTGTTAGAGGCAGTAAAAACCTTCAGTCTGGAGTGCCAGCTTGGCAGGAAGGAATATCAAAGCATTTGCATAAGTTAGAATGGCCCTGTCACAGTCAAAGCCTCCATTAGACAGATAGTCTGCAGCAAAGATTAAAAACAAAATCATCTGATGGAATAAGAGCTTATCTGCAAAGAATAAAAAAATATGCAAAACAGTCCTCTAGTTCTATGGTTCTTAAAGGGATTGATTAAGGAGGACTGACCTGTAAATAAATATATATATATATATATATATATATATATATATATATATATATATATATATATATATATATATATATATATAAATGGTATTTTCTATGTCAATACTCAGTTATGGATGAAGGTGATCGAACACAATCGGTTTTATATTCCCATCAGCAGGTGGCGCTGTGTAAACATCAAACATAATCTTTGATATTCCTCCAATAAACAGACAGATTAAAGGCAGGAAACCTGGGCTCTAATTAGGCTTAATATCAGGATTATATTTGGTATTTTTAGAAAATCTTAAAAGTGATGCGCATTATTCTAGAAGGTCTATCCAAGACAAATCAACTTAAAGTGGAGCAAACAATAATAATAATAAAATAAAATGTCAGCGAGGGATTAAGAGGAATTAATGGACATAGAAGCAGTGAGTAATTCATACTGTATATCTGCGTTATTTATTTTTTGCCTCCCCATTGTCGTTTAATACCACAACACACCGATGGATGGAGCCAGCATAAGAGGCTCTGCTGCTGAGCGTAAAAGGAGGGGGCTGGATCGGAGCGGAACATCTTTCCTGGCGGTGCCAGGTGTGTTCAAACCTGTAGCAGACAAACGTTTAGCAGATGTCTCTCCACTCACTCACTACCGGGAGGATCTGAGCTGCGCAAACAGCCAACCCGGTGAAGGCTGCTCTCAGCCTGCCCACAGGTATGAGGGATCCTCTTCGACGCTTCAGACGCTCCTCAACCCACCGGAAAGTGCGTGATTATTATTTTTCCGTCTCCGATTCTGACTTATTAAAGCAGCCAATCGACGCGCGGACGCCTGTTTTCTTATCATCCATCCCGACGTTGTCCATTCTCTATCTTTACGCACAAGACGCGGTTGGAATCACTACGGGAGAAACCGGAGCCCTTTGACGCATCAGCATCAGAGCAGCAGGTGACCATCAGAAATGTCAAGAGGATGAAATCCCCCGCAGGTCGACAGAATAACTCCTGGGGGTCAATCAGGCTGCGTCACTTCACGCTCATTTAACAACAAACGCAAAGGAGCCTCCCGTCACTTTTGATTCTTTATTTCTCCAATAAAAGGAGAAGCGATCATGTCCAGAACACTGAAGAAGAAGAAACACTGGTCCAGCAAAGTGGTGGAGTGCGCGGTGTCATGGGGGAACCTGGAGGACTTCGGCTCCATGGTGGAGATCCTGGGAGGAGCGGAGCTCGGACAGTTCCCCTACATCGGCCAGATGAAGCTGGACGTGCTGGTGTGTCACGTCGGGAAGCTGCCCTACTACGGGGACGTCCTGCTGGAGGTGAACGGCACGCCCGTCAGCGGGCTCACCAACCGGGACACCCTGGCGGTCATCCGCCACTTTCGGGAGCCGATTCGCTTGAAGACCGTCAAACCAGGTGCGTCCTCAGCCCCTCTGCTCCCATCGGCCTGTCACCTGAGCTCTGCTTGGAAGATGAGCGTTCTGATATGTGCCATCCACAAAGCAAAACAACCCACATGACTGTGCTCAATAAGGGTTTTCTCTTTTAAACACTGCAAAAACTGAAATCTAAAGAAGTCAAATTTTCTTAAAATAAAGGATTTTTTTCTTGAGTTGAGGTGGTAAGTGAGACACTTTGCCAATAGAACAAGACAATTTACATTTAAAATAAGAATAAACTTTTGCATTCTCTTATTTCAACTGCATATTATCTAATTATCTTATTTTAAGAGTTAAAATACAAATTCCATTGTTAAACTATCTTATTTACCTGCTCAAATTAAGAGTAAATAAACTTAATTTAAGACATTTTTGCTCATTTCTAGATGGTTTTTGCAGTGCATGACAATAATATCCATATATTATTACATTAATTTAAATTCAGTTATTTAAAAATACAACAAAATCTTATGTGGGAGCACCCAGCACTTCTTTTTCTGCAGGATAACCCAGACTTCTGTTACTGCCTCCTGTCCCATAAACTCTAATGACCAGTTCTCTCAGCACTTTCTCAGGCAGATCGAAGAGTGATAATGGCCATAATGGCATGTAGCCCAGTTGGAGCCATCTCAGCTAAGTGCACTTACAAGCATAAAAATAAGGGTCAGTTTCACCCTTCTATTATTCACCCAGCCCCTTTGCCCATTGATCACACATGCATATTGGTGGGTGGTCCCAATCAGCCTCTCCAATAATTGGGCTTCAGAGTCTCGACTGTTGGCTGAAATATGTGGAGTTTCTCAGGAATTAAGCAGATGCACTCATCAGATTTGGGTCCAACTTTAAGATTAATGAGTCTCTTTTTAGTTTTATGCTGGACGTACTTTTCTTTAAATATATGCTAGAGCTGGAATGTCTGAACACCAGCTGAGGTTGCTGAAAAGGTTACATCAGCATCATCAGTGGCAGCAGCTGAGTCTCCAAACCTCAGGCCAGAATCCCCGAATATTAGCTGCATGAGTGGACTCACATCAGACTGTATGTTTACCAGCAGCTTCCCTATAATTTATTTATTAAAGTATTGATTTTTTTAAACATATTTTGCAAGGAGGAAAGAAAAGAGAGAGAAAAAAAGCTGAAATAAACAAGTCTGGTCCGTGTTGGTTGTGCATGCTTATTAAGGTGTGTGTCTTTTCATGGCTATGCACTCCTCAGAGCTCCTAACACCATGCTCTGCCCGACTAACCAAGGATGATTAATAAAGGGCATGGAGGAATGAGAGTGCAAGGCGGGGAGAGAGACACAAAGGAACAGAGAGACTGGGAGAAAAATCCACCCTGCCTTTGGCTCCGGGCTGTACTCCCACACAAGGCTGTTTTTTCCCATTTAAGTTCCCAGGGAAATAATAGTGACAACGTCTGTAAAATACCCTACATAACATTTCACTTTCATGCTTAGAAGCCTAAATTAACTGTTACTCAGATTGTCAATGATGGGATTCCCAAAAAAAGCTCTTCCAGATTCCCTTTTATCAGTGTAGAAGTGAGCCTGCTACATTGCCTTATTACATTTCTTGCACATCTGCATTATGAGTATACATTCCTGTGTGGTAACCTCATGTTTTATTCACACCTCTTGCATAATTGAGTCAGTGAGTGGATTTTCTCCAACCAGTTGGAGGCTGGGGGGCCTGGGGGATCAGCTGTTACCAGGAAGCCCACAGAGCTGCCAATAACACGGTTCCGCAGACTGCAACAGGGAGAAAGTCTCTTGGTCCCCCAGATGTTCCGCCGTGCCTTTCCCAGTATTCTCTTGTGTTCTTTCTGAATTAAGCTCTGGAGATGATGGGCTTCCTGTGCTGCTGCTGTCTGGGGCGGAGCTTGGAGGGAAGATGGAGAGGGTGTGTCGACGCAAAGACTGGAATTGGGAGTTTGGGCAAGGATGAAGAGAGAGGATGCATGATGCGAGTCACTACATGGGCTATTATCTCTCTGCTATTGATCGAAATGGAGTGAGTGTGAGGTGAAAGAGTTGCACTTGGTCTTTCCTCTAGTTTCATTTCGATTCCTTTAGTGTATCATATATACTCTGTTGGCTGCTAAAAGGTTCCTCGTACTTCCATGTGGGGCAGATGTGGATCAGTGGGTCATGTAGCAGCTCCATATAGCTCACAGGTTTTGTTTTCAACTCCTTACCTACATTGACACTAATACACTTACTATAATGACTCATTTATTGTTGTTTTCATAATCCCTTTTCCTTCTCTAAAATAAAATAGTTCAAACTTAGCCAGCTTGATCACTTGTCATGGAAAATATGTTGATTTGCCTATTTTTCTGTTGTCTTTGATCAAATTTCGATTTAAAGCTCTGAGCACATCTCTGCTTTTGCAAACAACCCAGGCTAAACATTCAAACGAAAATCTTAATGACTGGGTTCCCAAAAATCCTTCCTTCTCATATTTACGCTTTGCTCTGTCTCGTATATGTCTGCACAGCTGCAATCACTGTGGAGCTGAAAAACGTAGGCACAGTCATTTATGTAAAGCTGAAAGGATGATGACTCTGACGGCAAATAAATAATTTCACATTGCGGTGCATGGTGGAGCCGGCACAACAAGGGTTCTTTTGTCTTTTGGTAGGCTAATATTAGCTGTGTGAATATATGAAACACATGTAAACAAGATGTCTTATTTGTCCTTATGAATTCTGCTTCCTTTACAGACCCAGTCAGACTGTTGCTCATATACGTTTAAAGCTACTTTATTAGATCACCTTTTGACTTCAGACCTGCTAGGATCCACAATTATGCATGTAGGAAACATTCTTTTGAGGTTCTGGTCTTTCACTGATTTGATGCTAATTTGTCTGCAGATCGTCCCTAATGCATAGCTCCCATTGGGATTAAGATTTTAATATTCTTTTGTATAGCCCTCTGCTGCAGTAGCACATCTGCTCCAAAGTTAAAAATAAGATGTTTTCAGAGACTGTATCCCACAAATCTTTGATTTAAAGAAGTCATAACCTGTTACTTCACATATAAAATCCTTCTGAAAGTGTCTTTAAATTAATCTTAAAAATGTTTAGGAGACTAAAATACTTAAATAGATTTAATTCTGATCCCTTTTTATTTCTCCTTTTTTTTCTTGCAAGTGTACGCATGAGAATTTGAATTCCATGTATGGGGTTCATGTGGATGTAGCGTTAGCAACATTAGCAGTTTGCTATGGTTTGTTTGAGGCTCTTATTGTTGGAATCAGTCTTTCTGGTGGAATAAAGATGAACGTGGTGATAGCAATGTGGGGTAATGTTGGCAACCTTTCACGAATTATCTAAATCAAGGTGGAGAACAAACATCACTCTCTGTGGAGAGCAAACTGTTGTGGGCTTTTCTGATTATAAGAAGAGCCCAAACAAGATGAAAATAAGCCACTTTTACATTCCTTATTCTGTGGCTGGTTTTGACTGAAGGTCAACACACACATTTAAACATAAAGAAAAGAAAGCGTCAGATTTCCAGGTAATGGCACCTTTAACAAGAAGTGTCTAAAACCAGTCCCCTCATTCTCCCTCTGAAGCGGCATTTCAGCAAGGTGCCATTGTCTAAATTATTGCTGCTCATAACAATTTCTCTTTTTCTAACAATTATTTGTCATTTCAACAGTTAGTTTTGTATAAAAACCTTTAGGAAGAATAGTTTCGGAAGGACTCAGACCAACCCATTTGGCAGCAAAAGCCACATCGAAAACAGTTTTAACCTCCTTTCTATCTCATTCAGACGCTTTGTTCAAGTTGCAAGAAATCATCTTAACCACAGTAAGATTCTTTAAATGCTTCGACGTGATCAGCCTTTTAGCTATTTGTAAAAGCCAGCTATTGAACAGGTGAATCTAATAAAGTATGCATATTAACAGTTTGCAGGAACTGTATATAATTTTCAGCAAGCCTACTAATATGCATGTAACAGTTTTCTTGGCTAATTTGACTGTTAATTGTCCTTAATTCTGAATTCAAATTGCAGGATTAGTTTATTTAAGCCTGCGCTAATTCTATTAGGTACCACCGTGTATTCCCTACTCTTGATTGCAGCTGTATTTACCTGGCTTTGCTCACACAGCAGTGTGTTTTCCATTACCTGTTGATCATGCCAATAAAGAAGAATACAGACCGACATGAGCCTCCGAGCCAATGTATCAAACAGCAATAGAGAGTGTGGGTTAATCACATTAATGCACCGCTCATATCACAAAGTGCCTCTCATTGGAATCACGCTCTTGACAGGCGATGCTTTGTCACAGAGTAGAGATTTGCAGTCGGCTGTTAAAAAAGAAGGGATGAGGATAAGAGATGGAATATAGACTGAAAGATCTCCGGTCAAATCAGCGAAGACTTGTTCTTGCCTCAGATATTTCTCACAGTAGGATGAGAAAAGCAGCACAGCCATTTTATATACTGCTCCTCTGGCGCTCATAAGAAAGTGATTTGAAGCTAAAGGAGCTTTTTCTTATAGACTTTAAAGCAATTATGTCTTCTTTTTTTAGATTTAGTAGGACATTGCCTGTTCAGCTGTTTATATTTTGTCACTGATTGTTTTATACAAATTTTACTTGTAATAAACTTAAAAGTTCATGCAATATGTTGTGCATTTAGAGAGTTTTCCGCACCCTTAGAGTGAAATTAATTTTACATAAAAAGAAAGAGACTGCTGGAATTTGTAAAGAAAACTTATGAATAATTAAAAATGCAGATTACTGAAAATATAGAGGATGTTAATGTTTTTTTTAGAATACTTTCAGAATATTGCATCAGTTTGTATCCTCCTGCTGTGTATATGGAAACCAGAGCTCTGCATTGCCTTTCATAGACAAAAAAACCCCCATCCTTGTAAGTTTGCATGTTTTAACCCAACAGATGCAAATGTGTTTCCTCGATTACTACTGCCAAGTTGAGTGTTTAAAGTTTGAGAGGATTTCTTGTG